TTTTTTTTTTTTTTTTTGGTATAAAGCCTTCGATTTGGATTTGATATTCTGCCATAATTTTTTTTTTTAACTACTACAGTTGGAAGTGTGGAGATTGTAATTGTCTAGATTTAAATATTAAATTTTTAAATATTATCATATTTTTTAACAAAATTATGATCATTGAATTGCAATAATAATTAACGATATTATAATAGAATGAAATACATCAGGAGAAAGGAAATGGTTACCTATCTTTTCAAATCTCTCTTCACTTATATTATAACTTGAATTTAAAAATTTTAACATAAATTTTTTAACTTTTAACATGTTTCTAAAAGAAAAAAAAAAGAAAATGAAAAAAATATATATATTAGTCATATATTTTACAATAATTAAAAGTATAAAAATTAAAAATTATGATATCTGAGGATATTATTGGGACGATACAGATACCAGAAGGAATAAAACTTTACGGCCCGTTTAGAACATTGGATTAATTGTGGGACACCAACGGATTGGATAAAACCTAACCCGTGTTTTGTCCAATCCCATCCTACAGTGGTAAAATTTATCCGATGTAACCCTTGGGATATAGTGGGATGGGATTTAATTTTTGACCAACTCAAAGTCAAAATCTCTCTCTTGCCCTTTCCTTCCTCCCACTGTCATCGCGATTGCCCTTCCAATTCTCGTGATCTAGTCGGTTAGTTGCCGTTGTCGGTGCCACTCCGTCGAGGTTCACTTCGTCGAGCATTCGGTAAGTCTCAGATCCAGCTTTTCTTTTCCATTTCTTTGTTACCTATAAAACTCAGATCTATCCCCTTTTTTCTCACCTGTAGAAATCCTGCGATTCCTCTGTTCTTCTTCTCCGATCTTGAGCTGCTCATTCCAGTAAGGCTGTAACCCTTATCCTTGTTTGGGTATTTCGTTTATGCTAATTCTGTTGAAAAAATGATGGGTTCTTTGTTTTCTGCATTTTTGGTCTATGGAAAATGATGGGTTCTTTGTTTTCTGCAAGTGATTGTTTAGATTTATATTAGTAACCAAATTTTAGATTTTGAAAATCTCCACAAACATACACGCGTTGAGTTTCTGTCGATTTAAAAATCATTTTCTCTAAGAATGCAGAAGGATTTTGAAGGTATGTCCTCTGTGGCAAAATTCGGCAGAATGTTCTTGGTTCTTCAGTGGATTTCTTTTTACCAATTGTTCCCCTCATTTCTCTGTTTTTTCCTTGTTTTTTGTTTCATGTCACGTGTGTGGCCCTGAGATTTTGTGCTTCTATGCTTCTAATTCTTTCTTATTATTGAATACTTTTGTCATGTTGTTTCTTGTGGGCGAAATGTGAGGATGGGAGCTAGAAATTGAGTTTGCAAGAAGATTACTATGAGTCTCTGAACTTTCTTTGAAGCTGAACTTTTCTAGAGTAAAGTGCCAAAACTAGCTATCTATTTGAGCTATTTTCATACTAGGGAACTTGGGTATTTGAATAATGTGAACTTTCTTTGGAATTGAGTTTTAGATGAAATTATTTTCACATTCCCTTTTAAGGTGCCAATTATGGTTGCTATGTAGTTCTCTCTTTGTATGTTTTTAATGTTCTAGACCATCTAACAACTTTCTAAATCATGCAGCAATCAAAGTGTATCATTAGCTTTGCAAGGAGATGCTTCTGAACAACCACAAATTCCTACTGTGTTTGAGAAAGTGCTTTAATCAGATGGCAACAATTTATCTACTGCTGACTTGAAAAATATTCAGTCAGATAAGGAAATGAGGGTACAGTCAGAAAGTAATCAGAGCCAAAATGTCCCAAGCTATAATTTTGGCTTCATGCAACCCTTGTCGACAAGCCACTTTGTGC